CAGACTTCACTCCTTCTCAGCTCCTGCTTAATATTTTAAATGCTGCGACCTGCAGTGGTCAGAGGATTGTTGTGGCAGCAGAGTGCAAGACCCTAAGCTTAGACTTGAGCGAAGACTGACGTCCCAGAGCTGCTGCTGCAGTATGGCAGGGCAGCCCCGAGCAGATCGATCATGGCTTTAGCTACAAGGCTGGCATAAGCCTTAACAAATACAAATGGAAAGAGAGACCTATAGTTTCCTCATGCTGACTCTTTCAATGATGAATTGTTTTCTCGGAGCACTCCTTTTGTGTTCTTTATCTTGGTACATCATATTAATATTCAGTGAAGCTGGACACCCAGTAAAGACTATGGCCAGCACATTTTTCACAGCATGTGGTTCTTTTGCTTCAAGGATAAAATTGCTTAATATTTTAGTTTTAAGCAGAACACAGATACAATTGCAAATGGAGTTATACAGGGTTGTTTTCAATGACCAAAAAATTCCCACAACTGCAAAAAAGAATCTAATTCATTTGTAATGCTTGAGCATTTTTCATAGCTATCATCTAAATACAAATGTAATTTTATCTACAACTAAGCTAAGTAGCCATGGATTTTTTGATGGGTCAAAAAAGTCTTTCGTAAAAGCATTGCATGTGTGTATATGAGTACTACTTCAATGTTAGGGTTTAATTACATTACTTAATCTCATGCTATATCATGTGCAAACTCTGCATGTCAAATACTTGAGATTTCTACAGTAGAAACCTAGTCGGATCCTATTTTTGAGCATGGCAAATTGGATTCATTGGATGTGTGGAAGTAAGACGGCAGCAGCTTTAGAAAGGCTAGAAAAAAACACTAGAGCAAAGGTCTGGTCTGCAACCTGTGGCCCCAGAGCCACGCGTGGTTCATTGGTTCATTTCAGCTGTGGCTCTTACAAAACCAAAAAGGAAATGCTCTGAAATCAGCTGTTCATTTTATTCCACACAACCGCCATTCAGTAGATATTATCTCTTTTTTGGACCAGTTTCTTCAAACCTAAGATGTAGCTGTGCATAAAAATCCCAGTAGATGAAGATTCTGAAATACTCAGACCAGCTTCTTCAGCCCCAACAATAATACCATTTCTGAAGTTACTTAAATCCACTTTCTTCCAAATTCTAATGCTTGATTTAAAATTACATTCACTGTGTCTAAAACCCAAAATCCATTGAGTTACTGCCATGTGATCGGGTGATTTGCTGTTTGCATTAAGAAGATACTGAGCAGTGCTTTATCAAGTTCCTGAGAGGACGGAAGATGCCAGATGAGGGGTTACATTCAATAAAGAAAGGGTGCATTTTTCAACTACCCTTATTTACTTACCCTGGAAAAATAGATAGTTGAAAAGACAACACACAGTGTATCAGATGCTTTTCCCAAATCGATTAAAGTGAATGAAGAAAATACATTATAGATCCTTTGTTTGTGCTCATTGCTCATTAATGCCTTTTTGACTTATGCTTAACATGGAATAGAGTATTATTCTTTAAAAATGGTCTGTATTTGTACAGTTTGCTGTAATTTCTTCAGTTCCTGTCAAGGTTATATTTCATTCACTCTGTAGCAGAACAGTACATTGCCATTATGTTCAGTGAGTTAATTAGTTTACTTAGAAAAAAAAGTTTGTGATTTTTTATTTATTTTTTTGCTATACGTTGAGCACGAGAGTGCTAATGCATTTATGCAACATTCCCTCCAAGGCACTACTCATTGTAATTAATTCTTTTGTAAACTGAAGTTCATTATGGCTGACTGACTGCCACAGCAAATTTAGAAAACAGAAAGTGGGTAGATGAAATTCAGATAACATGTGTCGGGTGCGGTGAGTGAGAGGTGGTGAGGAGAGACGCAGAAAACAAATTTAATGAAGATGCTCAAAACAGTCCAGATCAGGCAGCACAGCAGAAAGATAGCACACAGCTAACTACCGGTAGCAACGGAAAAAACTGAAGACTGAAAACGAGAGCTATACCAACACAGGACTTGACGGTACGACTGTGAAGGTATGTGGACAAACTAAGAATGACGTACACAGGACGAGGATCCGACAAGAGACAAAGACAACAGGTGGGCTTAAATACACAGGGAGGGCAATCAGGCAACTAGACACACCTGGGAAGCAATCAACAGGGAAGACAGGACAGGAACAGGACTAAACACAGAAAACCTCAAAAATAGCTACACAGAAAACACAGAACATAACAACATGGTGTTAAGATACAAACCAGCTATTGACACAATTCCAATAGTCTGCTTGACTAACGTTATGTGCAATCAGGAAGAACATGTTTGAGATAAAGTTTTATTAACCTTTTGTCATAAAAATAAAAATAAGTAAAACATGATATTTACAGCTGTGGCTGTAAATATCATGACATGATTATACTACATACAAGATTTCATAGTTAAGTGACTTTCTGCCAATAAACCATTCATCTCCTGATTTACAGTGTAATTATGCCAAATTGTAAGTTATCTCACAATCAACATATTTAAACATAATTTACTCATTTAGCCAAGAGTGTCAAGAGTTTCTAACCTCTGAGGTCCAGGTTGGACTAGACCTAAATTCAAACATTGGAACCAAAACTTAATTTTTCAACATGTCCTCTTTGATTTTCAATGGCATACTAGAAATTTTTCATGAATTAGCCAGCATTGTTGAACTATATGTTTTTTCACTGATAGTATTCAGAACAGAGTGAGCTATAATAGAGAGAATAGAAATTTCAGTGGTTGATCCCTTCTCCTCTGGTTAACAAGGGCACATTTCAGATTTCTGGCAGCTGTACTGAGCATTTTTTTACAACTAAAGCCTCCACACTGCTTTCAAACATTCACCAAGGGATGGGAAAACAAAACAACGGCACCCTTGGGCAACAAGTCATGCATAACCAAGTGTATAATAAATTATGCACCATTCATGAATAATTAAACAACAAACTGAACAGAGGGTGAAAGCAAAGTACATTAGATAAACGTGTTAAGGAGGGTAGATGAAATATTTTCTGTTCTGGTATGACTTGCAGTCCTCTGTTAAACTTGCTCTTATTTTGAACAAGAAAAAAATTGAAAGGTTTTGTAAGAAGGACAAAAGAATATCCTGGTCAAGAAAGTTTTGTTTCCGAGAGTAAGATTTCAGCTAGCAGCTCAGGCACTTATATTTTCTCCTGTTATCCCCATAATTCACCAAAAGTCTGAAATGATTTATGTGCTGGCTCACAGATACAAAGGCCTTTTTGCACTGTAAGGCCCACCTTGGCTCTCATTGGTCCAACCCCGTTGTCCGGCCCGGAAACCGGCTCCCTCTGTATCTGCTTATCAAGAATAAAACAGGGCAGAACAGAGAAGAATTATCTCAGCTTTAACCTTAAACAAAATCATATAATGTACATTTTTACCCTTATACTAAAGGGTATACTCACTGCGAACTACTTTTTGTAGCCCACAAACAAATGTTTGGCTTGGAAAATATGCTGTAGCTACAAATGAGACTGTAATACTAGCCACCAAACTCTGGTGCTGTCCTCTGGTGATGGTGATTGAATTAAACACGACCAGCAGTTCAATAGTTGAACTCTATTTGAAAACAATTAAATTAAGTCTTAACTGAGAGAATGGATGAAAGGATTTTTTTCCTCCTGTAATCGAAATAGTAAACGTTTAAATTAAATCAGCGACATGTAATGAAAATGCTAACCTTACTTTACTTCTGTGGTGTTTGACCAACAAAGATACAGAAATGGTTAATAAAGACTTAACATTAAATAACATCAGTCTGTTTGTTTTATGTTTTATGAGTTTGCGTAATAAGTTTTTGTTTTTTTTAATCAGCGTGTATATATGTGGTTTTAGAGACTAGGAGAAGCATTTGATAATTTATTGTAATGCTCCCGTATTAGCTGCTAAGCCACTTTACTCATTTCAGGGCTGAAGATTGAGCTTTTACTGAATTTACATAAATCTCCTTGGCTGTATTCAATACTGTAGGCTGCCTTTCAGTTGTTTGATGAAAAGAAATGACATATAACCCAGAAACTGTAATGGGATGCAAACACAAGAGTGGGTTGTGTGAAAACTTCAGACAACTGAGTCTTCAATTGTCATTTTCTCCAACTGCCCTGTTGGCGATTGGAGAGCTTTGCTTGCCTGTGTTCAAGTGTCTCTCCTCTGTCTAATCTCGCCTGTTGATTTGCGAGCACAGATACAGTTCATTTTGATTAGGCATGCTGGTTTAGAAAGAATTCATCACTGCAGAAAATACTTACATTGATAATTGTGGGTTGTCACCGTTCACCTCATTCATTCAAGTGAATGCTGTAATCGGTTGGTGGGGATCCAGCAGTGAAACACGTATCCAGAGTCCTCCTGCAGAGCAGATGTTTTATGGTAAAATTGGAATCACAGTGCTCACTCTTTGAGAACTAAATATTTTAACCTTTTTTTTAATATCTAATCCAGTTAAACCACTTACAGTTTAGACAATCAACCTTGTAAACTCCATGGAGTTATAAGGAAAATACTTTATTGCGGTACTGACAATTTTGTATTTTCAAGAAAAGGATGGTGAGTACTTGCACTTATCTCAGAAAATAAATACCTAGAAGCACCCCCAGTACAGATTTTAAACATGCCTGAATATAAAGATTTTATGCAAAGGACTCTTAAAAGTGGAACAAGAATTGTGCCTTCGAGGCAGAACATTCCCTTCTGTCTTGTATGATCCCCATAAAGCTCCTCTTGTTAAATCCTGTTAGTTTTAGGTCTTGGTCATAGATGCTTTAAAGTGAAATATTTAATGAAGGTGGATTGTGGATTAAATTAGAAGGCCCCTGAGAATGTTATAAAAGTGTATGTTCTTGATGTTCGATCAGAAGCTGAGGTTGTACACAGTGTCCTCATTGCACCACGGACAAAGAATGGTTTAACTTAGACAGTGAATGTTTAAAATTCATATGTCCATAAAAGTTTGAGGATTTTGAGTCAACAGGTCACATGACTTGGAAGCTATTGAAGAAAAACCCTAAATTTTGACCAAAAAAAATGTTAAAAAAAGGAAAATGACTTAAAATGGAAAACAAATGACTGTGCCTCACCTATACAGACTAGTAGAAAGATTTCAACGTGATTCTGAGTAAAGAGGTCAGATGACTTGGAAGCTATTGAAGAAAACAATGTATTATTTAAAATTAAAATAATTTAAAATATTATGACTTTAAAATTTAATAAAGGTTATTGTGTCTCATTTAAAAGCACGAATTAGCACTGACAGTTAGTTGATCACAATTCAAGGCATTTATTAACATTTGTTTGACAGGAGTGTTTGGTTCAGTAATTTGTTGACAGTCTCTAAGTGAACCTTTGAGCGCTTGGGCCGGGAGCGATAGAGAACGGCTGGCTGACATTAGCGTTCATAAATGGGATCAACCTTGAGCTGAACGTCCCTTCCTCCGCGGAGCGCGAATATCCAATATCCAACTTGAAAACAACTTCACTGCGGT